CGCCTACGGGATGTGCCACGCCCCCTTTTGAAAGCTCATTCATATATACCTTACAATAAGCACGTACCATAGCTGTGCCTGCATACCAAAATTCAATCTCGTGGGGCGTATGGTTCGCAAGATATAGCTGATAAAAATTTGACGCCTATGGGAGGTGCCACGCCCCCTTGTCGAATCCTAATTTTTTCTCCCTATTATAGGCCCGGGTTGCATGGCAATACTCTGTCAAAATTTCGTTCGATTGTGTCCGTCCGTTTAGGCTGCAACCTGGCACATACAGACATACATATTACTTCCACAAATATATAGTAGATATCTATCCTTCTCATAGCGTTAAATAATTTTTGGGGATATCTCGGCTCGCGTAAGTTTTAAGTCCCAATATTGATTTTCAATTGGCGAAATTGTATTCTAAATATGAGCCAGATCGCCAATAAAATGCAGTTTTTAGAAATATTCCGACCCTAGCGAATATTTATTTTCTAGGTGCTACCACATGTTCCAAATATCAACCAAATTGGGCTAGCCGTTTAGTAGTTTAGTGACATTTAATGTATAGAAAACTCTATGAAATTGTGAAATCGTGCCGTCTCAGCATTCTTCATTGTTCGACAACAACAACAAAAAGTTTCAATTTTTTTTATCGAAAAACCTTCCACACAGAAGGTCAAAAAAGTGCTTTTTACAGAATTTAAATCGGTTCAGCCGTTTGGTCATACGAAAGACATTTCATTTTTAACCGACTTGCAAAAAAGAGGAGGTTATCAGTTCGTCGGAATATTTTTTTATTTTATTTATTTATTTTTTTTTGTAATTTTTTTTTTATGTATGTTATCGCATAACTTTGGACCACGTCAACCGATTTCATCGGAAAGGTAGTGTCCCATACTAATCTGGTAAAGATCAGTGGATCATGAGATATTTTTTTTATATGAGAGTTGAAGTCAGTTTTTTTTTTGCTAAAAGTTACTTGTTATATATATAGATTAAAACATTGAACCAGTGCTTAACCTATACAGTATTTTAATCAAGTAGCCAAAGCTCAAAAGGGCATATTACATTTCAGAAAAAGTTATTTTGATGCCCCTTCCCCCATGAGGCAATTTCTTAGAGGCTCGAAGAATTGCCTACTTTCGACGAATAAAGAACAAAAATTCCGTCATCCCGGAAAATCGTTCCACATTACATCACACTCCTACCCTATCGAAAATACCAACAACAAAAATGAGAATACAAAAATTAACTGATATATGTAACTATTAATACAACTACGTAAAATATGAATAGCACTGAAATATTTACAGGTCACCACAAAAAGAGGATAAAAGGCAAACGTTAACAAAAAATGCGAACACATTTGAGGGCGCCCAATTTTTATTTTCTACGACATGCAGCAGCCTGTTTTGTCTATAAAATACTACAATTCTGTGGGTATTTCCAATCTGGCGTTACCTGACACCTGTATGACAAAATGTTAAAAAAAAATTGAAGGAGTCAAAATTTTAAAAAGGTTTTTCTAGATTTGCATAGCACTTAAATGAAACTGTTGGTAGTAGCGATTTAAATATATTAGTAAACTTACGCGCTGGCGTGACGTTACAAAAAACAGAAGTGGATTTTGACTTCGATTACAAAATTGCTAAACTCTGCGAATTGGGCAAGACTATTTGCATAAAAGTTTCAGTAGTAAAATTGGAAATGTTTAAGGTTAACTTTTCAAGTTTTTAAACGTTGAAATCTTTTCTGTTTTATGTTTAATCAGCTGACTTATCTGACGTGACGTTACCTGAGGTCACGTTAATCAAATTTCCATTGATAAAGTTTTGTTAATATGGTTCTTGAAAGAATTTTTTATTTTTGAAGTGAAGCGGCGATTGGTTGGTTGGGAGTAAATTGGGAAATTCAAAGGAAATTGCACACGGAAATGGTGCAACGGAAATGATGCAACGGAAGTGGTGCAACGGAACTGGTGCAACGGAAATGGTTGGGGCTGAAACAAGAGCTTCTTGTGTGTATGTATATGGTATTAATTTAACAAAAATTTGCTAATAAAAGGTTAAACAATAACACTTAGAAACATACAAATAAAGAATGAAAGTAAAGGCGACTACGTACATATATAAGGAAAAGGATAAAGGCAAAGGTGAAAATAAAAACAAAAACAAAGATGCGTAAAGATAAAGATAAAAATGACCACCAAGGTAATTTTAAACACTTTACTTGTATATAAGGGCAAAGCTGAGGACAATATTTAGATGGAGAAAATGATAAAAATAAAAGTAAAGACAAAGAGGAGGATGAGAATATCGACAAAAAGCAAAGACGAAGGTAGTGGAAGAAAGATTAAAATAAAGGTAATTAAAGAGGAAATGATATAGAGAGAGACAAAGGGACTCATTCTGGGAACTATTTTAGGATTTTAGAGATTTTCGGGATTCTCGGGACTTGTCGATAAAATATTGATATTTGACGATTTTGTTATCGATTTTGTTATCGATATTTATCGACTTTGTTATTATCTTTGTTTTCGCTATCTATCGATTTTGTTATCGATTGTTATCGATTTTGATATTGACTTTTATGGATATTTACCGATTTTTTTTTATCGATGTTGTAATCGATATTTGTCGGTTTTGTTATCGATATTTACCGATTTTGTTATAGATATTTATCGATTGTGTTATCGATATTTTTATCGATTTAGTTATGGATATGTTTATCGAAGTTTTTGTGGACTTTGTTATTGATATTTATCGATTTTGTTATCGATATACATATGTCGAATTTGTCAATCGATATTTATCGCTTTTGTTATCGATTTTATCGATTTTTTTATCGATACTTATCGATTTTGTTTTGGATATTTTCATCGATTTTGTTTTCGATATTTTTATCGGTTTTGCTATGATTATTTATATTGATATTTTATCGACATTTTTATCGATTTTTAATTGACATTTTTACCGATTTTGTTATCGATTTTGTTATCGGTATTTATCGATTTTTTATCGATATTTATCGATTCTGTTATCGATTTTTTTATCGATAACTATCGATTTTGTTATAGATATTTATCGATATTTATGGATTTTGTTATGGATATTTTTATCGATTTTGCTATCGGTATTTTTATCGATTTTATTATGGATATTTTTATCGGTTTTGTTATGGATAGGTCTAGATAGAAAAAAAGGCAAAAAATATAACCTTAAGCAAAAGCAGGTGTATGTGTGTATGTACATATCGTCGCTCCCAACGAAGAGTAGCACATCTCAAATTACCGTGGAAGACTAGCACGTTTCACTATTCGCGTCGAAGACTAGCACATTTCATTATTCGCGTCGAAAAGTAGCACATTTCAGATTCTCGCGTGGAAGACTAGCACATTTCACTAATCGCGTGGAAGACTAGCACATTTCAGATTTTTGCGTGGAAGACTAGCACATTTCAGATTTTCGCTTGGAAGAGTAGCATATTTCAGATTGTTAAGCCGCGAAAACTGCACGTCTCCGGTTTAAAGTAAATCATAAAAGCATAATATATATTGAAAATTCAAACGTTTATTCTATATTTCTTTAATTGTATTATGAAAATCATGAAATTCAGACGGTATATACCGTTTACTAATCATTTGTTGAATATCATCCACTTTTCTTTTTTTTAAAGGTATTTTTCCCTTGTAAGCTTTAGGCAATTCACAGTGTTTCATGGTTGACCATTGAACATTTTTTTTCATTAGGTTCAACTTCTCCTCGCTTTGCATAAAGTCGTATTTTACTGCCATGTCTACTTGATTTTTGCTATTTTTTATTGTAATTTTCCGTACATGTGATATCTTAATTTTTTGCCAATGAAAATATTTGGACAGTTCTTCGAAGGAAAATATTTCATTTGCGTTTGCGTTGTTGAAAATTTGTTGAGTTTTTTTAGTATTCTCCTGGGCTTTAAACTTGGGCCAATATGGATTTTTTTAAGAGAATTAACTTTATTTTAATTGAAGGTTTTTTAAGTAAATAAATAAACATAACATAAATAATATCACTTTGAAACGGGGTGCTCTTGATATGATACTGTATGTATATGTTTTTTCGTATTTATTTATAAATAAAGATTCCCTGAGAAAGACGCGAATGTCGAAAGGTGTAGGAGGAAAAATAAACGTTTATTTTACTTGTAATAACCGGCCAAAAGGCTCCATATACAACACTAAACTTTCAGCATGACCGAAGAAAAATAATTATAGTATAAACATACATATTTATGTAACTTTTTTTTTTTAACGGCTGCTACAACCTTATATGAACTGCCTTGCGTATCCCTCTTCCACACAAAAATCTGAAATGTGCTAGTCTTCCAGGCAAATAACGAAATGTGCTACTCTTCCACGCAAAAATCTGAAATGTGCTAGTCTTCCACGCAAAAATCTGAAATGTACTAGTCTTCCACGCAAATAACGAAATGTGCTACTCTTCCACGCAAAAATCTGAAATGTGCTACTTTTCGACGCGAATAATGAAATGTGCTAGTCTTCCACGCGAATAGTGAAATGTGCTACTCTTCGTAGGGACCGACGATATGTACTATATTGGCTATGAGACAATATAGATATGTGTGTAACGTAAGTTTCACTTCTCCAGTGTGGCCCAGGCGCACTTACTTTTTTTTTTGTAAATCTATGTCTTACTACGTTTCAACTAATCATGCCAAATGTGATACAAATCAGAGCGTAATGGTGGACTGGAAAACTTAGAGAGCTTAAACCTAAAGCAAGAATAATTTTTGACGACAGCCGCAGAACAAAAGTCCACTGAGAAAAGAGTCAGCTAAATATATTTTCCTCAACACAACATTTCACACACCGTCTTCAAAAGAGTCACATCTCAAAATTTTGCATTTTTGAGACTACGCACTAAAAATGTACGCAGAGCTTTTATTTACCTTTCAGAAAAAGCTGGAGCAAATTTTTTTTTTATAAAAATTGTTAAAAACACCTAAGGTAAAGTCGCCCTTGCCCATATGATTGCCATGTGCTAAGAAATAGTTTTACGCATTTTCTGACGAATGTATTATTTGGAGTTGCGACTCTTTTGAAGGCGGTGTGCGATTTGGTAACAACTATAACCAAAATATGTATTGAGAGAAACATATTACTTGTAACCATCAAAGACATACTACCTATAGTGAAACACCAATCTAGTATGAAAAAATACTAGTTTAAAACTAGAATTTCCTGACTTAAATCGAACTAGTCCGAAAATGATCAGACTTGTACCAATTACAAAACGATTTATGAACGTCTTATTTTATTTGACTTCAACATTTTAAATACACAAAAAATAACTTTTATTTGGGTTTATTGAAAAACATTAAAATGAGTACGTATTCAATTATGTATATATGTATGTATGTATTAAGTATGTAAATGAATATTGTGCGTACATACATAAAACAAAGTCTTTCTTAAGTTAATTTGTTTCCTTTTTAATACAGTACATATATAATTCTACTTGAAGAGTAATTAAATAAAATTTAAATACTTTTAAAATTTTAATTAGATATTTATATATAATTATAATTTTCTTATTTCTAACCGACTTTCGCTGTTAACGATAAAAAATAATATATTTCAATAACTTTTTAATATAGGTTTAGCCATATGGCATTAATAATAAAATTAAGTTTAATTCACAATAAATTTATTATTTAATGCCAATGCCGATAAAAATTCAATTTGTATGCGAATAAGGCAAAATAACATTGTATTTTCCTATAATAATGAAAATTAGTCTAAATGCAAATACAAAATCACATTTTCCAGCTTTTTATAATCGAAACTGTATGATGGAAAGTGTGTTGTAATATCTACTTGATACACAAAAAATTATCACGGCTGTACTTTTTGCTGATATATTACATACATATGTTCCATTTAGTTAAAGAATATAAGAATATTGTAATATGTACCACAAAAAGTTATATTTTCTATAAAAAATCATAACTCAGAAAACAAAATCTTCGCTATTAGAGATTTGGCTTGATTTTAGTTCAAAGTGTCTCTTTTCCGGTAAAAAAGTATGAGAGAAAAAAAATACACTTTTTGAGAAATTAAATAAAAAAAAAAGATTTGCACTTTTTGTTTATTGTTAAATAAAAAATTTTAAATAATGAAAATCAATAATTGTATCATTCTATCTTGAAGTGACAAGAACTACTGACCTTTGAGTAAAAACATTGTTGGAATCTGTTAAATTTTGACAAAGTTATGGGCATTTTAAAAAAAAATTCCCACTGTCAATTCGAATAATCGATTTTTACCTGAAAAACAAAATCGCGTTTAATTCGGGCGAAAAATTTTTCCGAGCCAAAAGAAAAAATACGTGACTCATTATTTGGACCAACAAACAATGTATTTGAGTTTGGTCGAAATTAAAAATCATGCTCGTACCTGACCGGTTGTTTGGAAATGGAAAGCATCAGCTAAATAATTTCTAGTACAATTTTTTTTTTTCTGACGATATCACGCGTTTTCTTCTATTCAGATCCCCTATAAAAAATTAATTTCTTTTTAAATCGGTCATTTGACGAAAATTTTTGGGCCCCCTTCACGTGGTTGGACTCTATTACTTTTATAGAATTTTAAAAAGGGAGCACTGAAGTATAAAGTTAATGAATTTGATTAAATGAAAGCTTTTACTTTTATTTAAGTTTACTTAAAAATAAGCCAAAGTATTTATTTTATTTTTATTAAATACTTATTATACCTGAAATATTTTACTTTTAATAACATTTAATGGAAAATGCTTTTATTTAAGTTTCAAAAGTTTCAAATATTTATGTATTTATTTTTATTTTTTTAATAAATACTCAGAAAAAGTAAGAAATTAGAAAATCTAAGTTGGAAGGTAGGTTACAACTAGTACATTTGACTACAGGCTAATTACACTGTAAACACTAAGGGCCGTTTTCACAATGTCTAGTTAAGGCTAACTGGAGGTACATCCTTCAGTTAAGCACATCGCCTGCTTTATCGATCACATGTTATATGGTGGGTGTCGATAACGTCGATAACGATGTTTAACTGGGAGTGATGCAAACGGCCCTAAAACTGACTCTTGGCAATCATACTGCACATCTAGGCTGTATGGAATCCGCTTAGAAAACAACATATTTAAAACAAAAAACAGTTTTGTATACATACATAAATACATAGGAAAGTCTAAGATTGTTTAGATATTTAGGTATAAATATAAAACTAGTAATGTGTTCACATGCATATGTATACATCAGGGTGGTCCAAAGAAAGTAAAGTCGGAATCTTAATGCTCTCAAAAAAATTCACGGGTGTACCCAGAAAAAAAAACGTTAATTAAAAAATTGGTAAAAAAAAACAGCTGGGAATAACCCCGATAAGAAATGCGTGGCAAATATCGAGCGCTCCAAGTGGCCACTAAATAGTTTTTGTTTTCAAAACAAAAAACAGAGATATATATTCTTTTCGATACAGAACAATCCTAGGGGGTGAAAGCATTAAAACTCCAACATTTCTTTTCTCACATGCAACTATGGACGATCCTAATAAACACACATACGTGTATATAAGCACAGCGGAAGGTGATCGAGTTGATTTTTTCGTTTAGATAAGCATACAGATTTTGCATTTTCCATATGCAACATGCCACCTATTGTTTAGTGAATGGTGGTGGTGGTGGCTACCAACCCGCGATGCCGTGGCAGCCAACAAAGTGTGACAATCGCGTGGCATGTGGCAGCTGAGACCCGTTTGTGCACTTCCTTTCAGCCTTTCATGCATATCCTTCATATCCTGTCTGTCCCTTTTTTAATAATAAGCTCAGCCAAAGCAGTTGTTTTTCAAAATCCTTTCAGCTGCCTAAGGGGCTAGCTACTTTTACTGATTCCCAAAATCGTGTGTAATACCTGAACCAATGAATGCTATTTCTCCATACAAGTGCACACACATCCTGAGAGGGGGTTTTCTATTTTACGAGCTATGCAATTAATTATGTGCGTATGTATGTATGTATGTAAACTTTTAGATATGAGAGGGTGCAACTTCGTCGAGTTGTAGTTGTAAGCAACCCTTTGCATTTTTTTTTGAATAATTTTTTATTCATTGTTGTCAAATGCAGTGTACGCATGCGCAATGCAGTGGATTAGCAATTTAACAACGAGAATTAAAACAAAGACCGACCGCGAGTTTGAAAAAGGCCAATCATCATCACACACAACCGACAGGCAGACCGGCAAGAAAATATGTTCGTAGTCAAAGAGACAGGTAACAGTTGCAGACGAGCGTGTGTCTATTTATTTAGAAATCAAAACAACAGCAATTTTCTATTATGGCACTCACCCTTTGAATGAGTCAACGAAGCGAAAAGATCTGCACTAGTTTCCATTGCCTCCACACACCACTGAGTACACCAAAAAAAGCTTTTAAAATTCTTGTATGCGCTGACTTTTGTTATTTTTAAATATTCATGTTGGGATTCAACAACAGCATGCGGAAGAAATACAAAGCACGGTACCAAATACATACTTACATACATACAGTGTACTAGCACTAAAAGCAAACTGAATCAATTTGATATGCACGTTCTTGACGATTTTAATTAGAACGAAAACGCACCACCACTAATATCGGATATGGATTTCGTTTCAATTTACGCACGTCAACGCACATACATACATATGTACATACATATTTTTATTTTTATTGCTACTCGCTGTAAACAGCTAAGCAATTTTGGCCGAGTTCAAATAAGCACGCCAGTCGTTTCTGTGCCAACTGACGTCAAATGGAAGTGCCAAGTGAAGCCAAGTCCTTTTCCACCTGGTATATCGAACGTAGAAGAGACCTTCCAATTCCACTGCTGCCAACAATAGGCTACGCGTTGAATAATTTTTGGGCTGGAAAGTTTGTATCCATTCGTACGACATGACCGAATCAGTGAAGCCGCACGATTTTAATCCATTGAACAATTTATATTAGTGATGTGCGATTCCGAGTGCTTAAATAATCGAGAATTTGGACCGGTTCAGGTTCTCAAAAAAGTGGTAACGGAAATAGGCCCTATGAAAGTAACTTAACAAAAAATTTCTTTTTAAATTTGTATTATATAGTAAAGTAAAGAGAATAAAAAAATATATGGCATTGATCCCTTGGTTAATATTTATGTTACACAAATTTTATAAAAATAAAATACGTGTGTATTACGTGAGCGTTCTCCACTCTAAGCGCTTATTTAAAACAAAGTAATGTTTCCATTTAAAGACATGGTGTTGTGGCTGCTCTTTCGACGCATTCGCAGCTGACAGCGATTTTAAAGCGTCAAATACGGGAAAGAAAAGTGGAATAACATTTCATTCAAAGAAAAAATGTTGTAGACCAACTCAGAACTCCAAATTACGTAGACAAACCGAATTTCAAGCTGATAGCACCAAAAAACACGAAATTGATGTAAGTCGGCCAGATCGTGTATATGTATATGTATACGGCACAATCAGCATCCACGGCTACCCGCTCGCGCAACGCACCAAACACCCGAAGAACCTGCACAGCTCCGAGAAGCTCCTCTGGGCAGCAGGAAACCATGACATAGGTGCGCTACTCAGAGGTGAAAACCGAATGGTAGTAGGTGACTTCAACGTGCACCACGATCTCTGGCACTCAAGCCTGGCCAATGATCGTCCGCCCAAAATTCCCGGCCGAAGCAGCTGTACTTGCAAATGAGCGTGACCACCTACGCCAGGTCGATCTCGGGGACCCTCGTCTGAGAGACCTTAATTTGGAGATTCTGCAACTGGTAAATCAGCACAAGCGGAAAAAGTGGGAGGAGCACTTGAAGGTCTGTAACTTCACATTTGGTGTGAGTAAGCTCTGGTCAACCGTGAGGTCCTTGTCTAACCCAACGAAGCGTGATTACAGAGTGGAAATCTTATTCGAAGGTCGCGCTTCTTCGGACCCGAAGAAATGCGCAACCTACTTCAGTAGGCAATTCACACTGCATCCATTGGTAGACAGGGCTAAACGTCGAGTAACCAGGGGGCAGCACAAGCTGCCAAAAAACAGTGCACCACTTGCTTTCACCAGCTGTGAAGTGAAGGGGGCTATCGGGAAGGTTAAAGCCTCCAAAGCCATTGGACCCGACGGAATCCGTATGTTGATGCTAAAACATTTGGGGCCTAAGGGAGTAGCTTACCTAACGGAGGTCCTCAACCTGTTTATGGCCACTCTCATCATTCCTGATGTGTGGAAATCAGGGAGAAAGGGCCCACAGCTGAAACCGGGGAATCCCGCCAACAAAGGAGACTCTTTTCGCCCGATAACGCTCTTTTCCCCAGTCGCGAAGACACTTGAGACCCTGCTACTCCCATACTTCAACTGGCACGTGACCCCAGCGAAGCACCAGCACGGATTCGGTAAAGTGCATAGCACAACAACAGCACTTAATGCCATAAACACCCAAATAACTCGTGGCCTAAATCGACCTAACCGCCCCTGTGAGAGAACGGTCCTAGTAGCGCTGGACTTGTCAAAGGCGTTTGACACCGCCTGTCATTCCACGCTGCTAGAAGACATCGAGGCCTCCTCACTCATACCGGGACTGAAGCGATGGTCGGCGAATTATATGAGTGGTCGACAGTCGTCAGTAATCTTCCGAGATCAAACTTCGAAACCAAGAAGAATCAAACAAGGGGTTCCACAAGGTGGTGTTCTCTCCCCCTTATTAAATTAAATAATAACTTCTACATCTCGGAAGCATCCTCAGCCACCTGAGGAAATTTCCCTGATCTCATACGCTGACGATTGCTCGATTTTGGCGTCCGGGAATGGAATTGATGACCTCTGCTCAAAAGTAAACGACTATCTCTCCAGCGTTTCTCGCTTCTTCACTGCAAGGAGCCTAACACTCTCCCCAACGAAATCAACGGCGACCCTCTTCACCACCTGGACCAAGGAGGTCAGGTTAGAATTAGGTATACACGTCGATGGCTTACCAATACCGACTGTAAACAACCCGAAAATTTTAGGGGTCACCTTCGATAGCCTGCTCTCCTACTCCACGAACACAACCGCAGTTGTCAATAAAGTACAGAGCCGCAACAAGGTCTTCAAGTCGCTCGCCGGCAGCACTTGGGGCAAAGACAAAGAAACGTTGCTGGCAACATACAAGGCAATTGGCCGGCCGGTTCTAAACTATGCTGCGCCAGTTTGGACGCCGGGGACTAGTTGGACGCCGTGGACGAAGCTACAGACTTGTCAGAACGCTGCACTTCGGACAGCGACTGGGTGCCTTCTGATAACGCCTGAGCACCATCTACACAGCGAGGCCCAAGTCTCCCCGTAAGGGAACACAACAAAATGCTTTGTAAGCAATTTCTGGTGGGGTGTCACAGAAGCGAACACCCAAACAGACCTCTGCTTCAGGAGGAGCCTCCGCCCAGGCACGTCAGGGGACACCTATTCGTATACAAGCACGCAGTTCAGCAATACGTAGATCAACCACTGGACCCGACGACATACAGACGAGCCATTAACGACATCCATAGAGTGTCACCTCTTCACATGCCAGCTCGATCCGACTCAGCTAACACCCCTCTCCCTCTGGTCCGAACCCATTGAAACAGCTCGTTTCCTGGGCCTCCCGTTAGTTGAGCCCGAAAATGATTAAACGTTGACCCGAAATAGGCGAGGCTTAGTAGTGCCGCTACAGCAACAACAACATGAAAAGTATGTACATATGTACATATTTCTCGTGATTGAGAGCTGGAAACAACAAAATGTTGAAATTATTAAAACGAAGATCTCAATTCTTTTGTGGTACATAGTTTTCCGGGGTATGGCTATTTTTGTTAGTAGCGAGTAGACTCCCTACTAGCGCTGTACATGTCTATGTATGTGAGTAAGTCCAAACAAGTTTTTCATATGTGTTATGCAGTTTGGCCACCCACAGTTTCATGACGATTGCAAATGCCAATTTGTGAAACCTTTCCATCGAATAAATAAATTCACTTAGAGATTTTTATTTCGACTGATGTCCGATGATTAAAAAAAAAAATTATTTCACTCGGCCAATCGGCAAGAGAATGTAAAATTAAAAACAAAAAAACAGAACAGATGACACAATTATTACTGTTGCTTAATTTAGAAGCTTGCAGCGCAACACAATAAAGACGGAAACAATAACAGGAAGGAAACAAATACAAAGCATTCATGGCAAGTGGTTGTACTAACAAAGTGAAGTGCCTGTGGCTAAAAGACCTTTCTGTGCAATCGTACATACCCTGAAGTGTATATACTTACATATATATCTATATATAAATAAATGTGCTATATGTGTACACAAATATGTTAGATTTCATAGGTAAACATGGTGTTGCGCTCATTAGTCATATGTGCATTGCTGTTGCATTAGTAAATATGTATACAAAAGTATGTTTGTATGTATGTGTGTACATATGTACGTCCTTACACCTTGATTTTGCAAAGAAAATAATTGAAATCATTGAAGCTTAAACATCCCTTGATCGCACTTAAATATATGTATATACATACATACATACATACATACATATGTATTTGTAAATATTTTAGCTGCTCTCGGTATTTTAGTGTTTGGTTTAAATTAGTAAAGGAAAGTGGAAGTTGCACGATTTCCCTCTTTGTCCTCGAAAAGCAAATACATACATACTTCAAAATCCTTTTATTTCATATTTGCAGGAGTAATCATTATGTACCGAAAATTGTGGAATAGTATAGGTAATGGGTAAAATAAAAGTTAAGACAGGGTGCATTTTAAAACGCCAAAATACAAAGCATCAGTGTTTTTTATTTTGTTTCTAAATCTCAGCATATTGTAATGCTAAATGTGCGCGACAAAGGTTAGCTGCTAGTTTTCAACTAGGTTGCGCAAGTTAGACTTTTTCTTCAAGTACGGCTAAAAGATAGAAGGGACTGATGATTTGTATTTTGACGTTTTGGAATACGCCTATACTGAAAGCTTTGGTTTTTCTGAAAATTTAAAAACATTGATTTTTAATACAATCTTTGGTTTTGGGATCATTTTTATTTTAAAATTAACAATTGTTTTCATCAAGGTCTTCATAAAAAGATGGTACGCTACGTTTGTACGTATACCCCGCAACAGAATGATACGGTCAACGGGTTTGAGCAATTTAGTTTTCTTCAAATTAATTCAAATATTTTTTTTATAAAAGTAAAGCTCATTATGTAACAAAAACCATATATGTATGTATGTATGTATGTAGTTCCAAATTTCAAAGTTTTTATAAAAAGAAGAAAACTTCAGAGAAGTTGCACACCAACCGTATGTACGTAAGTATATATGCACTTAAAGTGAAGAAAGAATGACTAAATAACCAAATAAAAATTATTCGTTCATTCGAAATTAATTGAATTATTAATAAAAAATTTATTAGTTTTTTGAAGTTTCTCGATGATGAATAAAAACTTATGTATTTGTTATTTGAAATTACATGAATAAAGAATTGCAATTTATTCATCATTCAAACATAGGAAAATTATATACATACATACATATCGTCAACTGAAATGCAAAAAGACGTGACAACGTCGTTAATAAAATGTAAAAAGTCATCACTAATATTTTTTTAAATTTTTTTTCACAAAATGATTTGGGGAGTGGTAATTCGATGAACTCCATCATATAAATCAAAAAGTGAATTTTGAATTTTTTATTAGTTATGACTTTTTGCATTTCAACGATGGTGTTTGTTACATCTTTTTGCATTTCAGGTGACGATATGTAGATATGTATAACATCTTGTTTTTTGTTTGAATAATAATTCACTCAAAAACGCCCATCCCCGGTGTGTCGATACACTTCTCACGGACCTCTTCACAGATCAGGTTAAATGCAGGATCATACTTTCTGTGGTCCGTGTAGAAAACCTCTAAAATCTTATCAGCAAGCATATTTTCGTCCGTCATTGCTGCGTTTCTCGCCGCATTACTTGAGTACTGTCATTAATTCTTCAGCTCCAAAAACTTTATTGAAGTCAAACTTCCTTGCGTCCGGTTGGGATTAAATGTAAACACGGATGTAATGAAAATGCGGGACACTCATTAGGGGATAGCAGCCCCAACTCCTTCGCCCACATTAGAATTATCTGTGTAGATGTGCGTTGCGTTCCCTTTCAACTTCACACCCTTGCGCCAAGCGTCAAATTCAGCAATTTCAGCTTCTAAAGACCTTTCGGATTTCACACGCGGAACCACGTAGTCTATCCGGCCGGTTAAGTATGGCGCTATACTATTGTGACCGTAGGTTCTGATTCCAAATTGCTCCGCGGCATAAAGCTACACGCTATGTTCTTGGCTACTAATTCCGCTGGTCGCATGCGTTAGATTGCGTGTAGTGACGCTGTTGGTATTGTAATCACCCTCCAGGCCTTTCTCACTCCCTCCTGCACACTAAGTTTCCATGAAAATTTGCTGTCCAATACGATTTGAAGGTACTTCGTGTTTGGCTTTACTTGAAGAGTGTGCCCCTCCAATTTAGGTTTATCCCAAGATGGTATGTTCTAGTGAATTGTACTAAATAAGTCAGTCTTCTCTGAGTTAATGCTCAGTCCCACTTCTATAGCCCAATCACTAATAGGTTTGAACGTTTAGTTCGCTAGTGAGCTATGTGCATAAGCTGTTATTGTGGCTGCTCCTCCTTCTATGCTCGTCAGTAATTTTTTAGCTACAAACGTCCATTAAAGTAATGATAATACCCCTCCCTGGGGTGTGCCTCTACGTAAGTCTCGGGTTAGCTCGTATAAGCCCTATTTCACCGAGATCTTTCTACAGCCTAGCGT